CGTATCCCTTTCTTTCTACCTATCTACCTCTATCTCTTTCTCTCCGTCTTTCCCTCAATATTCCTCACTTGCTCGTTTTGTCCCGTCAACTCTCAGTTTGCCTTTCCTTACTCGTTTTGCCTTACTTTGTCTTCGCACACCGTAATTACAATAGTCTTTCTTTTTTTTTTTTTCATATATATATATGTATATATAATATATATATAATATATGCACATATATATTATATATATAATATATCCGTAATCTTATTACATATACACTAGCTGGTTACAATAATTTGTGAAAAATATACATCAAAATTTTGTTACTTTTTACATCACAGATATTTTAATATAATATATCATCTTTTAATTCTTAAAGATTTTTTTTCTGTTTCTCCCCGTATATTCGACCAATCCGTCACTCGCCGGATTGTTTAGCGTATCGCCCGCGACGAAGGGAGAGACGACGGGATGTGCACAGACCAAAGGGATTCTTCTCAATTCTTCTTTTTTTATCGCGCGTCGCGATACGATAATCATCGCGCTTTTCTTCGAAAGACGGAAAAGACTTTTCCGAGGGGTAACGCAAATTATCCAAAAGACACCGAGGAGTCTAGAGAGATCCCAATTTTCTGGGTGCCTTTTGCGATCTTTTGTGTTCTCCTCGGGGTAATTACGTATTTTAAAGATAAAGATACAAGAAAAAAAAAACAATATAAAATTTACTTCAATTGTCTTTGAACGAAGATCGTCGTCCTGCGATGCGCGAGCGCAAAAAAGATCTTAATCCCGATCTCTCGATAACGGAGAACAATACAATTTTTTTTATATTTAGGAAGGGAAGAAACTTTCGTCGTGCCGCCTCGTCCCGTCGTCTCTCCCGAAAAAAAAAAAACGAACGAAAAAAATCGACAGTGCCTCAACAATCGTGTCTACAACGGTATTTTGCCTAGCCTCGAGTTCTCTCATTTCTTTCTCTCTCTCTCCCCGACGATCGCGCATAGTTGCAAATTCCTAAAAAAAAAAAAAAAAACCGAAAATTCCTCCATAGACTTTAGAAGAAAGTCGCCAGAAAGATAGACAGACATCTTCCTCGATCGAGTGATGTTTCTTGCGCAAAATCATCTTGAACAAGATCATCTCTCGCTCGTTCCCTAATAGCACAACATATCCAAAATTATTCCGAGGATATCCAGAGGACATTCGAACATCCTCAGGATATTCTCTGAACGTTTTTTCGAGATATGCGTGCTGTTAGGGTCCGAATAGCCGATCTGCTATAATTTTGATGTCGATGCACGAGATGCTTCGTATAAGTATCGCGCCAATGAGCGAGAATTTTCGGCCCTGTCACGAGAGAAACAAGTGGTGTATGCATATGCGCGTTCTCTGTAAGCGAGGGTAGTTTAAACTGCCACGACAGACATGTGTCGCTGCGAGATCATTAGACGCGGACGTCTCGTTAATTACGCGTCGATAACTAACTATCGCGTTCCCGGTTCCAAGTTGTGCGAAGTTTGCGTAAATTTTCGATCCGCGTCGGAGTTTTCCCGGTTGCAACGTGTTGTATTTCAATTTCGAATCTTTTTTTCACAACTCGAACGTGCTAAACAATCGAACCTCTTGCACAAATATAATTAATTAATTAATTAATCGTCTCTATTTAAAAAAAAAAAAGTTACTTTGATCATTCGAGCAATTTCTTTTCCGACCGATTTTCCTCGAACACGTGCAAAATTGCAGGTATTAATTGGACAACGTATACTATAGAACCGACGACAATTTGATCGTCGACTAAGCTTTGTCTGCGAGAGAATTTGATCCAATTACGCGCAGTATACGAATGCACGAAGAAGAACAGGTATCCGTGGCAACCGCGAATTATTTTCGGCGACGCCGAACGCGAAATTCCGTCCAACACTTTTCGCGCATTCTACGTTTTCCCTCCGGCATACACATCACTTATCCTCTCGTGAAAATTATTTAAAAAAAAAATAAAAAAAAAAAAAAGATAAAAGACGTATACCGTGTTTGCACGCTCGATGGATCGTGGAGATTCGAGATCCGCCGATTATAGACCGCACCAAACGTCGCGACGAAACATCGTAACTTGAATTCGTAAATTGAATTAACGACAATCATAGTGTACGCACGTATTTTACTATCATCCGCACGATAAATATCATTTTTTTTTCACATCTAACGATAAATCTTTCGGTAAAGGATATTCGGGGGCTTTCGAATTTCTGGGTGTAATCGATGATGCGAGTTCGCGGGTATAAGGGGGTGGGTCGGTTGTGGAAGAGGGTGTCGAGGGGGATGAGTGAGTCAGTGGTCGCGGAACAAGTGTATAAACATATTTCCCTCCATTTGTTTTGTCGCACAATATAATAACGCCTATAGTGAATGTTTAGAAAAAGACTTGGAGGCATCGAGTAGCTCAGATCACACACCGAGTGATTTATATATCTTTGTCGAAAGTGTGTCTCTTGTGTGTGGGAGTGTAAAGTGAAGGGGGGGGGAGAAAAGGGTGGTTAAGTGGGGGGGGGAGGCGGTGGATAGTTAAAAAGTGATCTAACGGACACAGGGCGAAGAGGAGAAGGTTTAAATTTATACGTTTACACACAATCATAATTAGCTTGCATTTCGCTTTGTTGCTGTTCAGCTTGTGTTTTTTTTTCTTTAACCCTAAGGAGACCTTAACGTTTACACTCAATAACTTGTTTTCGCGTTTACGCGCGCTTCCTTTAAAGTTACATTATTCACGGTTTTTTGCTTTAAATAGGGTAAATTTTAAGTTTAGTTCCAAAAAACACCGAGAGAGTAGCCTTGCTTAATATGGTTTACTTTTTTTCGTAGGTATAATTTTTTTTGCGTTAATAAGGAATTTTTGCATTTTTAAAACACCGAACATACATGCCTTATACTTTATGTACAGCCTAGAGTCTTTCAGTCGTTACTTTTAAAGAGAGTCATGAGATGAGTGCGTGTGGATCATCCTTTTGCGTTTCTTGCGCTCTGCTGCTTTATATTATCTTTCTTTCTTTCTTTCCTTCTTTCTTTTAACATTTGTTCGCGTCGTTTTCCCTCGTCTACGCCTCGACTATGCGAGAAAAATAGGAAATCCTGGCCCGCACTACAGCACCGTTTCTTATCTATATCATATTATGTTTTGTCGCCGTTTTCTCGCGTTCGACTGGCCTCCGATCCATCCTGTTCTTTTTCTCATTTTACGCCTCCGTCGATTTCGTTTTGGTCCAACGGCCTGTTTGCCATATTAACGAAATGACGAAAATCGTCCTTTCATGGTGATTCTATCCGCGGATCGTTCTCTATTCGCGAAATGCAATTTCTTTTGTTAACCGAGAGATACCTCTCCATGATCGTGCACATCTCGCCGAGACTTATCGGAGAAATACAAAAATTGCAAGTTTTTACCTTTAATTTGAAGATTATATCCCGAGAAATATATGCAAAGTCAAAATATCGTTATCTCTATAAATTCCACATAATAATTATCTTCAACATATATACATAGCTGGAATAGGAAAAACTTGTTTTTAAGTCTGAATTATAGAGATACATACGTCTATACCCTAATCAAATTATTATCTTAATTTCACGTCAGACAAAATTTGCGAATTTTGACTGAGTCATCGTATCGACATTTTGTACAATTGTTATCTCTCGTCGTAACTATATCAATTATACGATTATACGATCAAAATTCAGACTCTCGTCGAGACTCCGAATTTTCATCGATCTTGAAAATTTTTACCGTATCTCGAGTATAACTTTTTTTTTTCCCCCGTATCACAATCGCGAATGTATAATTGGACGTGCACGATCGCGTGAATCCGCAGAAAAACCGAATGAGAGAGACGTGTGTGGCCGCTCGAAACGTCAATTCGTCATTCGTTCGATAATCGTATATCGTCGTTATTCCAAACCGACGACGGACGATCGAGACGCGCTGCTTCGCTAAAGTGTTCCGCCCCAAAAAATTCGTCCCGACGCGTCACGATAAAGTCTGCTGGTTGCCCGATGAATCTATTATGTCGCTCGCGGGAGTCGATAAGAAAGAAAAACTATTAGATATTAAAACGCATTTCCTAGATTTTTATAATTATGAGTCTTTTCCCTCGCGAAGAAACGATACAATGCCGCCTCCGTTTGTTGCAAAACTGCAGTCTCTCTTCCTTTTCTCTCTCTCTCTCTCTCTCTTTCTCTATCTTTTTCTCTCTACGCGGTAGAAAATTTGTATTCGTATCAAAAAGTGGGCGTCTCGCGCTTAAGAAAAACATCTTTTCGGTATCGGAGAAATCGAATCGAGAGCGGGCGCGCGCGCAACAGTATTCCTTCTTTCTTCTTTTTAATCTTCTCCTTCTCTGCCATTTCGAGTTGGCATCTTTCTATCTTTGCCTTGGATTGAGATTGCCGCTTCTTTTTCAATTCAAAAGATCGCGATCTTCGTCGCCGTAATTGCTTGTAAAAAAAAAAAAAAGAAATGAGCATTTGTCATCGTCAAACTTTGCGAGATAAAAAAATCACACTAAATAGAAGACTATAATAGAAATTAATTTGATAAAAAAAAAAAAACTTTAATATTATTTCAAGACTCTTAGAAATAAGACTCGTTACGTAATAAATGTGAAAAATGTGTCTGCACTTGTTTAAAGAATATTAGAGTCATTTGTCGAATCATCCATAAATAAGGAGAATTCGAGAAACAAGCGGACGTGAGCATTCGACTTGAACGTGTCGTTCGGACTCGTGGGGCAATGTTCAACAACGAAGATCGCTATCGGTACTTACTGTGCATTCTTCCATATGCATTTCGCATTCCGTATTCAACATATGCCCGAAATATGTTCGCGTTGAACGCCGGCCTCTCGAAACAATCGAGATTATAGAAATATTGTCGCCTCTCTGTGGAAAAAACGTCACCTACGCGCGCCAACAAAAGCCTTGGCTTGTTCTCGCTTCGCACACGTTCTCGTGTAATGACCAAAAATATATGTATATATAATATATTATTCCTTATATAATTATGTCGCTCCTTACGAGTTAAGTAGTGTTAAAGTAGTTAAGTAATAAGTTTTTTTTTCTCTTTTGCATTAGATAATTTTACACTCAGTATAGAGAGGAAAAAATATGTTGTCGCGTCGGCATTTTTGTTCCATCGTTTGACCTTTCGTCGTCGTCCACCGATTGGTAGTGGTAGCGGTTAATTTAATAATCGTAATAATAATCATCGAACGACTAACGCTTTCGCGTTTCGCGCATACATCGCGTCGTATACATATATATATATCGCCTTCTTTCTATGACAAATTCGCAATGATCGTGAGACCAAAGAGACTCGGACGCACCGATTCTCTTTGGAGTTTAAGGTAAAAATAGGCTTCGGATCGACTTTAAATTGGAACTCGCGATGCGAAGGAAGAGCCACTGCTCTTAGATAGAGTGACAAGATCTCGGTTACGACGCGTGTACGCGCGCAACGCCTAAGTATCTCGTTATGTTCCCCATTTTTTTGTATACTCGCGTATGTGTGAATACTCGTTTCGTAGACATGTGTAATGTCACTGTTGTGTGCTGTGTTGTGTTGTCGATACATTTGAGAGAGATGTTTTCGTGGAATGTCCGGCTTGTAGAAACGCGTTTGTAGAATGGGTCCGTGCATCTGCTGAAGCGTGTGTCCCGTGCGCGAGTACTCGGCACGATAAATATGTATATATATATATATATATATATGTATATATATATATATATATCGCGCGCGTGTATCCTTTATCTGTTTCGTTCTGTGATACTCCAGTCCGAAATATCCATGCTTTCGCCTATATAGTCGAAAGCGTTTTTATTTTTCCTGCACACGCGCCTGATGCCAGATCGGCCGGGCCGCGGCCAGCTGGACGCGGGTTCTACGGCGGGTTATAACTGGCGGAATCGCAATGGGTTTACGGGGATTGGTTGTGCTAGCGTCACACACATTGCCATTTGTCTTCTCCCCTTTTTGCGCTAGACTTGCCCCTCGCAACGTTCGAGGTTTCTCTTTTCTTCTTTTCTTTCGATTGGAACGAAGAGGTCATATGGGAGAGAGCAGGAGAGTGTGTATGGAATAGTCGGAGTATCATCGCGTTGCCGACGTATCCGAGGATTCCCTTCGTCTCCTCGCAAACGCGCCGCGCGTTTCACGAACGCGTTCAGATTTCGGCGCGAAAATGTTCTCGCCAGGTTTCTCGTCGTGCTCGAGCGCGAAGGGAAGCCTCGTTCGCGGTGCGCAACAACGAGAGAAGGCGCAAGAACGGGTTCGGTGCGTGTGAGAGATGGCGGAGAGATCTGGGCGGGAATGTGGGCTTACTGTATATACGGATCCTCGTCTCCTTTTGTTTCTTTTTTTTTTTGTTTACGGTACTCATAACTGTATACTTTACTGATAACTGATACTGACTTTCGTCTACTGCTCTACGGAGTCCTCCATGCTGAGCGCGGGGCCACGTTGCTCCGCCGCCGGCTGTTGGCTGTTAGTCGACTCGCCGGATCTACTGCTCGCGGTGTTGTAGCCCCTCTGCAGTTGCACGACCAGCCCGCTCACGGCAGCGTATTCCTTTTGTTGTTGCTGCGGCTGAGTCTTCTGGCTCGAATGATCTACTATAAGCTTACTATCACAGGCACTTTTTTTGTCAGTTGATACGGCGTAGAGGTTGTGTAAGTCCGGGTAATGGTTCAGCTGTGGTTGCTGTTGCAGGTTCAAAGGCTGCTTTCTATCGCGATCCTCCTGGCCGCCGTTGTGAACTTCGCGCTCTCTGCTGCTGCGATCGATCCTCGAGTCACGGGTGCTATCCTCGTCCCTGCTACCCGCTCGGGAGATCGACAGAGGCGTCGGTGGTGAGGTGAGCCGATCGCTGCCGTCCTCCGTGCGACCCCTCTCCGATGGCGATGGGCTGAGATCAACCGTAGGCACACGTTCCGGCCTTTCCGGCACTATCCTGCCCGCTGGTCCTCGATAACTCTCGTCCTCGCTACTGTCTTGCGCGATCCGCGGCAGCGGAGTTCTCCTTGAATTTCTGCAAAGCTGATCGATCAACGTCTTGCTGCTCATCGTCTCCGGATGTTGTCCCTGCGACGATGATTGTTGCTGCTGGTTCCTCACTTCCGCCATCGACCGCTGGTCCCTTGGTATGCCTGTCTCGAGGCTCGACCTGATCAGATTGTCCAAGAAACTGCCGTTCGCCCCGGACCCGTCATAGATGCTTTCCACCATGTCGCGCGGCGCCTTCGCTATCGACGCGCTTCGAGAATTCGAGGTTCCGGCTGCGTCTGGCGTTCCGGATACGGTCACACCGTCTCGTTGCTGATGTTGCTGTTGCTGTACCATCGCGTTTCGTTGTTGCTCCTGTAGCCCGCGCATTCTCTGTGACGCAAAATATTGTTCCGGTAGAATCGGCACGTTCGGTGCGCCACCCATGAAAGGCGAGGGCATGAAGGGTCCCGGGTTCCAAAAATTGAAGGGCGCGAACGGCAGATGAGGCATGCCCTCCATGAACGGAGGCATTTTCAGTCCGTTCGGACCGGGGATGCCGCCCGGCGGCGTAAACGGCTTCTGCGGTTTCAGCTGCGGTTTCTTGTCGACGCCGGCAGCGCCTGGCCGCATCGCCGCGGCCGCCGCTGCCGCTGCCGTCGTCGCGGTTTCCTTCGATTTGTCGTCCGGTTGCTTCTGGTCCCTGGCGAGGAGAGAATAAAAACTCGCGTTATAATCGATGCTTATAACAATCCACATGATTAACAATATATATATATGTATTCGTGATCAACTATATATATATATGTATGTATATTTTATTAAACGCGAGGACGCTATCAAAATATCACGTTTATCAGAAAAAGAAAAGAGGGGCTTAATCGATTTACCTCTTTCGCGGCCTCATGAGATGCCGCTCCTTGACTTTGTACTCAAGGGTGGAGTGCGGAACTCCGTAAAAGCTGCCAGCCCGATGCACGCTCATCTCGCCGCGCTGTACCGCGCGTACCGCCTCGACGAGGCTATCCCTGTCGTAGTTCCTGTACTTGCCGCGTTTCGGTCTGGTACCCTTGCCGCCGGTACCCGGCTTCGATTTCGCGTCTTGCGCCTGTTGCTTGGCTTGCTGCGACGACTGCGTCTGTTGCTGCTGTTGCGGTGGTTGCGGGGGCGTGTAACGGCCCCTCTTGAACGGGCTCGGGTCCGTCATCATAGTCTGCTGCGACGAAACGACGCCGGCCGATTGGCAACCCGGCATACCGGCCGCGCCGGGCGTTTGGCCCTCCTGGAACTTGACGCTGATGCTTTTGGCGATGACGTCGCGGAAGTTGACGGCGGCCACCGCTTTGCCCACCAGCGAATTCGTGGGGCTGCTGGTGCCGGAAAACGCTGGGCTAGCTCGCTCCAGAAGACCCGGACTCGAGGTGGCAGTCGCGAAGCCCTGGGCGAACGCGGCGGAGGTCGGCTCGCCGTTCTTGCTGGAACAGCCCGGCGTGCTGGCGGGCTTGTAGGACGGAATCTTCAGTATCGCTCTGCCCTGAGCGCTGTCGCTCGCCTCCTCCTCGATGTTGGGATTGAAGTCGTCGTTCGTCATGGGTACGCGCTGTTGCTGCGATTGCGCCTGTTGATGCGCAGCTAGGGGATGGTGGTGATGGTGCTGATGATGTGGCTGCGACTGGTCTCCGTTCACATTCTTGTTCAGCCTCTTATCTTCGCTCATCAGCTTCCTCACCACTTCCGGTATGCGATAGTCTCGCGTGTCCAGCCCTATGAGTTTGAAATATTATTTATTTATATTTATTCTTTATTATATATATATATTTATATTTATTATTACTCTTGATTAATAAGAAATTATTGTTGATAAGAAACAAGTTTCAGCTTTTTCATAAATTTTAATTCAAGTTTGATCTTGCAATAATTTGTGGCTTTAAATATTATACAGCGAGATATATGGTATTCGAAATATTTTTAAATCAAATATAGATAAAACAACAAACAAAGTTTAATATCAATTTGATATAATTTGAACAAAAATCATAATTGCCTCTGTATTTATTCATTCGTTCATATACATTTATTCATTCGTCGTAATTGTAAAGATACAGATTTAAGCTACTCAATTTAATTCGCAGTCTTTAAAGGCTGAGGAAATATCGGAGAGCTAACTGACCAGGGCCCGGCTTCTATCGATTCTGGAAGTCCTATTGCGACGTAATACACTTTTCGGCTTTCCTCTCCCGACGCAGAGATTGGTTGGTCACATTTAATGAATAAAAAGAAACGAATACCTGCCGGAAATGTGACCCAAATCCCGGATAATATAATTTATACGACAACAAGCTTCCGCGTACTTGTAATCATCCAAATTGCATTAATAAATATATTAAGTAAGCGAAATAGATTTACCTCAAATTTTAAAAAATTTAGACAATCTATTAATATAATTATAAAATCTTGACAGGCTATGAAAACTTGCAATTTTCAAATAAAAGCGCGAGAGACAAACTTTTAACAAATAATTACTTTTAACAAAAAAAAAATACAAAAGATTTGATCTTATACCTAATGGCGCAGCGGCAGCTAACATCTTCTGAATGTAAGGACCGATGTTGGCGTGTTCCAGTCCCGGCCATTCGGTTCCTGTCTCGTGTCCCCGTTGTAACAGGTTCCTGAGGGAATCACCACCGGTTCCTTCGAACGCAGAGAACCTGACGAGATCCTCCAACGAGAGCAGAGGCTTCAGCAGGGCTTTCTCGACTTCCTTCTCCTCTTCCGCGCCGGATAATTCTTTATCGTCCACCTGTTAAAAATATCTCTTCTAGCGTTTTCTGCGTATAATCCTTGCTCGTGAAAGAGCATCTAAATTGCAGATTACGGTCAAGTTGCCCTCTCGAGGAAAGTAAAAGTAAAAGCTTCCACTCCGTCTCCGAAGACGTGAATAGAAACGGTGCTCTTCTTATCATCGATAGTCATTAGACAATCGTTGTTGCTCGTATATGACAACTACTTGTTCGAGAGTGCTTCGTCGAGAGGTGTGTGTCTGGAATGTACGTGTATCTGTATCGTGTGTAAGTGTCAATTGTCCATGTAAATATATACAAAGCGTTTCTCGTAAAGCGACCGCATTGCATATTTTAAAAAAAGTATTAAAATAAGGAAAAAAGCGTAATGCGCGCAGAAAAGAGTACTTTTGGCTTTGAGGACGTTACACAAACTGGATTTCGTGTAAAAAAAGAATCGCGAACAGTTTTTATTGTTTTGAGATGAAAACATTTCGGGAATCTTGAAAATCTCTTTTCGTTATTTAGTGAAAATCATTATTGAGTTTTTTATTTTGTGTTTTATAAAAAGAAAAAAGTTTTGCCTGCAAAATAATTAAATAAAGAAAAGAATTGCTACTAATTTTTCTCTATATCTAATACTCATTTTAAGATTGCACGATCAAGTCACTTTATGCAAATCACTCAATATATATACATCTCCATCGAATGTAGAATAGCCAGCCAAGCGCCATGCAGGATCAGCTGCTAATCGGTAAACGGTATACTTCTCAAAGAAAGCGATCGAATCATTTTTACGGGAAACATTCTCGATGCTCTCATTCGCGGTACAATATATATATATATATATATATATATATATATATATATACTATAATCTCGACTACCTTTTCCTCGATAGTCCCCAGCAGAAGGAAAAAGAGGGCGAAAAAATTCGCGTAGGGTAGAGAGAAAAAGGAGAGAACTTATCTTCGGCGTGCGTTTCGACGAGATACGCCGGAATTCAGGTACTCGGGGGACTCGTTTAAGATGCATGCATTGCACTAAAAATGAAGCAACAGTCTTCTACGATGGTTGCCACGTATGTGTACGCGATCGCATGAAATGCAGACAGGAAAAATGAGACTTTAACCGTCCTCGTGCATAGACCTCGTGCTTGCGAGCTCGACAAATTGTACCATCATAAAATAACGCCTCATGCTAAGGCGCAGTTTGGTCGACAAAATGATTTTTAAGTGGCAACTACTATCACTACTAACAGATCGTGCGATGCAATTGGAATATTAAACAAAAAATATATATATACAATAGCGAGATATTTTACCGATGAAGGAAATCATTCGTATTACAAATTTAATCTTTTTTTCTTTCAACAAAAAAATACTCTTTCTAAATTCTAATAGTGTCGGTAAAAATAAGCTGCATGACACTTATTCTACAAATAAATCCAAGATCTTGCACTTTAATACGATGGATATTCTTGATTATCCAATTGCGATCAATTACCGTTCTACACACGTTAAGCAAAATTAATCGCAATCAAATCAAGGCAAAAGACACTATCAGGTGATGAGGATTAAATCGGGCCATCGTGTTTAATCTACCGTAATCTTCGATCGCGCGACTGTTTCATGCATGGCAGCGCGTTCGCACTGGGATTGCGATCCGTCTATTTCGGAATAATTATTTGATTGGACGTCTCTCTACAGCGTAGGGTTATATGCGCGGCACATCGAGGATGCAGAGTGTCGAGGTCCAGAAGCGTACATTCACGACCATTTATTATTATTGAATTCCGGGGCCATGAACGCCCTCGTTAGAGACAAAAGAAAGATCGGGCCCGGACAGATCCTTTTTTGTTTTTCGTCTCGACACGACCTTCCCAAAGACTTACCTCGAGTCTTGCAACCTCGCGGACACCAAGTTGCCGTGTGTTAAACTACAAATAGTGAGATAAAAAAAGTTAAACAGCCCATGCAAAAAAACACTGGACACTACTGAGCACCACGGCGACCGAAACAGAGTCGCGTAGACCATCGTCCCCTTCTTCCAGCATAGTGTCACCGAACAAAACGCACACTTGCCGTCGACATTTTTCGGACTAGATCAATATTTTCTCGTTGCTCTCCGCGATATGAGAAATATTAAAAAATAGTTTCAAGAAAAAATTGAATCTCTCTTTGACTTGAAAAAATTTCACTTTCTCTGTGTATATTTTTAAGAGTATACAAAATAAAAAAAAATAAAGTAATCAACAAGATAAAGTAATCAGTATCGATAAGATTAATATCATCTGTCTATAACATTGGAACGAGATTAATCTTCGTCAAAGTTAAATTTGCTGCATTAGCAAGCAAATGGAATTTAGCAGACGCGAAAACTCTCGTAATACTTGATATTCGATAATGAAACTGTTCTAGATTAATTTGACGATCGAAAAAATCCCACCGACCGAGTCCGAATTTTTTGGGCGTCGTTTCGCGATAACGGGACACACTTGGTCCACGCGACATCCACGATCGCCGTGCCAGAGGTATGTTTTGGGGAAGCTTCATTCGTTCTTCCTAACCAAAACCACACTTAGGTACAAATGGACGGTATGTATCCGCGAATTTTCCCTCAGCGAAATCTCCCTCGTGCATCGTTCGGTTTCCCACCCTTCCATGTTCCTCCGCATGGTAATCGGCCTGTTTCGTCATGTATTTAAATCATGGAGAATTACTACTCGCTTGCGAATAGTGTTAGTTGAAAGAAATCGAGTGCCTGATGATACATACATATTCTGTTATATTAAGTATATTTTAAAGATTTTTTTTTTATATACCGTTCTCATTTCTTAATATATTTTTATATATCTTCTTTCTTATTTTTTAATATTTTTTACGATTAAAATATTCTGTAAACACTAATTAATCAAAAATATTTATAATTAATATTGTAGCTTAAATAAATAAATAAAATCGTTAAAAAATTTCATCTTCGTCCGATAAAAATCTAATCAAACACTGCCTTTCTTCCATATTTTTATATTACCTTTTATATTACATATTATCATGTAATAATCAGGTTCTCAAATTTATTCTTTCAATATACTCTTATACGTATTTCGTAAAAATTTATAAATCAAAATATATAATATCTGTGTAAATGAAAAAGGAAATACGGAAAAAACTCGCGCAATTATACCATCAGGCACTTGCAGCGAATCACGAATATGAAAAAACGCGGTATATCGGATATCCCGAAACGAGTCAACGGAGCAATTTCGAAATCACTTCTTCCGCGTCATCGACTCGTTTCTGGATAAGGACCAACAAACATCGATAACGGAAACTACCGGAGATAAAAGATTCAACTCGATGGAGAGTCCTTATACGTCGTCTCGGTAGACGAAAATATCTCGCTCGCCGTTCAATGCCAATTTGCATCCTCGGCTCTTTTTACCCGACACGCGTGAAAGACCGACGAGGAAAGTTCGGCACGTGTCGGAGTTGGAACGTGCTCCACCCTTCGCTCTTTCTCTCTCTCTCTCTTTCTCTCTGCATCTCGCCCACTCTCGCTCTTCTCTTTTATTCTTTCCCTTTCATTTTGATCTACCCTCTCTCCCTCTCTCGTCTCTAATTGCAAGTTTCGCTCTAACTATCTCTTCCGTTTTCTGTCCCCAAAACCTACCTCGTCCACTTGCGGGGGCGGAGTGGTCGCGGAGGCGTTTTGGGTCGTTTTTGGTGTAGTAGTAGTAGTAGTAGTAGTAGTGGTGGTGGTGGTGGTGGTGATGGTGGTGGTGGTGGTGGCTGGGGCGCCGGGCTCGTGAGGGTGTGAATGGGTGCTAGTCAGGGACGCGTCCCTTTCGCGTTCCATCGCGAGCTTGTAGACCTTGTTCCGCAGCGTGCTACGCGGTATCCCGTAGATCACCGCCGCCCTTCGCGTGCCGAGCTTGCCGCTCTGGATGTCCCTAAGGGCGGCTTGCAGCTCCTCCTCGGTGTAAGTCCTCCTGCCACCCCCGGCACCCACCACTGGAACACCACCGACGCCTGCCGCAGCTGCCGCCGCTGCCGCCGCCGCGGCCGCAACCGGTCCGGTCATTCGCGGTTTCGCGCGGTAACACGAGCTAAAACAGTGTTAATCGACGTTACATCGGGTGATGTACTGTTTTTTTTTTTTTTTTTTTTTGCCTGCAATCTAGTGAATTTCGGGACGATAGAAAAAGAATCTGATATATATTGGTGAGTTTGTAATACACAGAGTGGACAAAATAAGGCATTGCGAAGTTTTAAAAATATTGTTTTTAGAGAAAAATAAAAGTTGTTGGAAAAAGTTATAAGGGTAAGATTGCCAAAAAGAAGTGAATAGTTTGTATCGTTAATTTTACATAAACTATGAAACATGACGTAAAACATTCATTTTTCATCGATATTACCTCAATATTTTTATGCACAAAAAAAAGAAAGCAATAACGTTTTATTTTATTCGCCTTGTATATTGTTAGATGTCAACTGCTTTTTATTACAGAAAAATTTATTTTCGTGTAATTTTCACTTCGTTATCAGCGACTTCAAAAATATAGTTTTTTTTAAGAATCGATCAATCATCATAATGGATCTCATTCATCCTCGTGCATTAAGCTCGGAGTTTAAATAAATAACGTATTAAAAACAGATATATTATTCGAGAAAATCGATATTGTACAGGGAAAAAAATAATTCTAGAAAATTGCAATTTTTCTCATTTCCTAAATCGTGCTAAAAAAAAATGCAATAAAATATTTCGATAAAAGCTTTCGTTTCCATCTAATTTAAAATTGCTACGAAATCGGGGACACTAATCAAAACGTAAGCAGCGCTAAAACATCTCGTAGCAAACGTGTAATATAATCCAGAAATTATAAAAATTAATTGGCACAATCGATAAACTCGCTCGAGTCGGTCTTATACAACAAAAGTCGAAGTATCCATCGCTTTTCGCAAGCTCTCACGTGCGTTCTCTCGAACTCAATAGACGATTTGCGTTAAACAGCCACGTGGCTCCTTCAACGTCTGCACGTGTTTGACGTTCGATGATGAATAGCGAGAATCCGCGAAACTTTAAGCTCGCCTTACGAGACATTCAGTCGTGTAAATTAAGTTTTTCAAGCGCACGAAAAGACACGGTGTTAACTCGACAATTTCACAAACTGCCACGTGCAATCAATAATATCTGACCAGAAAAACCATGTCGGAGATGTTCGCGAGCATTTACATCTCTTTAAATACATAATTCATTTACATAAATATCATTTCGCACAGCGCGTGATTTATACCGTACGTCATATGGATGAGATTTATCTACGTCGAGAGACGAGAATTAAAACAACGTACACAACCGCTCTAACATCGCCCTCAGGGCAAGCAGCGTGGTATTAATAATTTTAATACACGTTTTCGCTAGAATTTTCTTTTTATCGCTATCATAAATTGTCGCGATTATTTTCCGAAACGCATTATATTTGCTAAGTAGTGTTTTCGTGGTAACGAATTATTCCTATAAGCAGTCTATGACATCAAACATTGTATCAAATGTCTGATCTTTGTTCTTTCATAAAAATAAACGGTTCGTACATTATCTCCAGCATTATTTTCTCTCTTTCCTCGTTAAAACGCTTGTTTGCCAACTTTAATGAAAGATAAAGAAGATCAAACATAATCTAAATTCTAATTTAAAAAAAGAGGAAAATGTGGTAATTTTTAATATATCGATATATCCATAAAAACATAATGTATATAAATAACAAAAAAATTAGTTTCAATAAAAAGCTAATCTAATAATAGCGGGAAGAAAAGACACGTGCGAATCTCTTTTATTTTTCTGATACCGCTTTCGCGCAACAATAAATAATCTTCTCGATAAATTCTTACAACTTATGATCGCTTCGCTAAAAAACTTTCGGCGCAAAAGCAGCGGGCGATATTTTGCATTTTTTTAAATATATCGATATCTAAAAAAATAATATATAAATAAAAAAATTAAATAGTTTTAATAAAAAAAAAAAAAAAAAACGTGTGTAAATATCTTTTTTTCTCACACCACTTTTGCGCAACAATAAATCTCGACAAATTCTTACAGCCGAATCATCTTGCAATCGCTTCGCGCTAGCGTTAAATATGCGAAAAGAACGTAAAGAACTTGGGCGCAAAAGCAGCGGGCGATATTTCGCGCTAGCATAAAAGAGACGTGGCACGAAGGCGATGGATATCGGGCCGGTGTAATTTGTCACAACGATAAGATTAGAGAGTAGCGTAAGGAATCATCGCGCGAGAAGGCTCCCCTTTCGTCGTCCCACCCCCGCTTGCACATGCACCGGGAGCCCCCCTCTGTCTTAAGTTCGTCGACCTGAGAGCCGCTGATAAAAGTGCATTTCGTTCGACGCTGGCCTCCCGGATAGGTCCCGCTACGTCAGTCATCGACCGGCGCTGATTTATCTGCGATTTTTGTTTGTCGACTCGTCTGCGGTTTTGCGCGACGATATGCACCATGTGTCGTCGTCGTCGTCGTCGTTGGAAACTCGGTCGACTTGGCGCGTCCGTGTGCGTCTTCAGGTTCAACGTTCCTCGAGTAATGCTGTCGCGTAATTTCGTAGAAAACGGTATTCGTTAAATGAAACGACGCGGTGCGCGTATTTAATCGAGAAGCGAGAAATTTAGACGTTAAATACGCGATGATAAAATGAATATCAAAATTAAATCGGAAGATAATAAATATAGAGAAATGAGAAAAATAATCGACGTGTAATAACATGTTTGTTAAATATATCGTAAGAAATTGTTGTGCCGATAACGATTTTGCGTGACGTTAGACAAGTATCTTGGACATATGTATTTACGCATCCGAAGTCAAAGCTTCGAACGACCGAACTAAACTGGTTCGGTTTTGTAAATTCTCGCATAAATCGCAAGACACTCACGCAATCGCGAACCAGATAGTCATAATCTTGTCCTTCGCGGCGACGTCAATACCTCTTTGGCCAGCAAACCTTCTCTTCAAAGCCTTCTAGGAACCGGTTTTGCTTCAGTACTCCTGTCTGGTTTTATTGCGGCTCGCCTATTTTTCAGTATCGCGGACGCGAAGTGTACGTCTAATTTCGTTTATGACCAGCCATGGCGAAGGCACGTTCTAACATCTAGTCTCAACTAAAACTCGTATTTTTTATCACGAGTCTCTAAAAAAATTATGATATGTTAAAAAATCCACATAATCCTCTTAATTATCAAAAGAATCGCGAAAATCTTTGAGATCAAAAACGTTAACGTTTATTAATTAATGATAAAAATTGAAATAAAGATTCCATTATCATAACAATATTAGTGAATGTTCAAAGAAAGACATCGACAAGTATTCGATTGCGTAATATCAGTTTATAGAGAATGATAAATATCTCAAGATTCGCTTGCAAACTAAAGAACAAAAACTTGACGTTTAAGTAGTGTAGATTTAATTTGAATATATACTATTATAGAGCTGGTATTAAACTTCTGACGAGAGCAATGCAATTTTCATTTTATCTAAAACTTTTACATAACGTGTGCATTGCATGCACGTGTAACTAGATGAATATAGAGGAAGAAGAGAAAACCTCCATAATTAATATTCTCAAAGTTACATGTGTAACAATAAAATTAAAGCAACAGGATTATTGTATTCTTCCGAAAATGCATTAAAATTTTAATGTAAACTTAATATTTTAAATACACAGTTTTAATATTAATTCAGATCAAGACAAATTTTGAATTTGCTTTATGGATTTTATTCGTACCAAAGTGACTTAAACGCAGGACGCTGTTGTTTGCACTATTGTGTAAATTTTCAATAAAATACGGAACGTGTTATATTAACGCGGATCAGCCTTCAACAAAGCGATATAATATTTATGAATAATATTAACTGATTTTGAAGCACTCACCTGAGAAATAAAATTCACATCGCGTGTTGATCATAATAAATTACGATGCTTCAAGTCAGTATCTTTATTTGTCTACGAACTCTTTTCATGCTATTTGATAACTAATTTCTTTTAACTTCAACTTAATGATATTCAATTTTGAATCACTCTTAAATTAAAATATGTAAAGTGCGCATTTATTTAAAAAAAAAAACGACGATTCTTGACGTGTATTTTAATCGTCTTGTTATATTTCTAAGAGCTGTAATTGCCGTAGATTTTAAATTATAAAAATATACAAGTACATTTTTAAATTCGCATTTTCAAGATTTGTCGAATTCAAAATTTAAATATTCGCAACATAAAATTTGAATTGAATTTTAATTTCGACCCGGCTACCGCGGTTTCGTTGGCGGTCCTATCTTATCATTAATTACGTCGTGCATATGCGTCGGCGCAAACTTCTTTCGCCTCTTTCTTTTCTCTTCCCCTTTAATCTTTCTTGTCTCTTCTACTCATTCCTTACTCCTCCTCGCTCCTCTTCGTTGTTTCTCCTCTTTTCGAGTCGCACACCCTCCCTTTAACGTTCCTCGTAAACGAGGTCGCGATACACACGAGGTACTCCACGGCTTCGATGTGTCGGGAGGTGCAGATTACGATGGACTAATAATAGACGATGATAAAAATTTGATGCGCAAAATGTTCCGCGAGGGAAAACGGCGAAAACAACGGGAGCAACGTACGCAACTTCGATACTTTAGCACGACGATCTGAACACACTCGAGTCGCGCGAGTCATTCGAGCTATCGACGATTGCTTCCATTTTTCGCGCGAGAAAAATAAAAGTTAACATTCGTCAATGATCGATGGTTGTATCAATTATTACGATGCAATCTGTAATTTTTTTCACAAATCTGATATACGCTCATAGTAAAAAATTGAAACAACTTTAATTTTTGCGGATAAAATCGAAGGCTTCTGATATACACTCATTATCAAGGTTTCCTTTTTATCATGAATCGTAAGAGAAAGAAAAATGCTATAGCATAATTACAATATTAATGAATATATTAATTTTTTTCGTGATGATATAAAATAATGATAATGTAAAATACCTAATAAAAAAATGTGTATAAAATTCCCTCCTTTTTGCTGTCATTTATTTTTACGAATAGATTCACGAAATCTGCTACATCATGTTTCGTATTCGAGACTACAACAGAGTTGCATCGATTCTGTGAAACGCACTGCTTAAATATTTATCGAGGTACGTACCGCAGACGTATAGCAGTTTAAAGCTCAAAGGGTTGAAAAGTTCAAGCAACTCGTCGGTATTATTACGGTTTAGAGGGTACCGAGACTGTTTACCGCGATCGTGCAAACGTATTACAACGAAATTTTTTCGTGCAGTTTTAAAACACTGGAGTACGATACATTAACTATTCGCGCGTGAGAACCGTGCAATAAGCGACCCGCTCAGTTGTGACAGTTTTATCAAAGAATATTCCCTTTACATCAAGAAAAAAGATGTATTACTGTTACTTTGTCTACCACATATGATGAACAAAATTTCTGCAAAAATTTATAAACTTTATATTTAGTAAAATGTTTGCAATAAATTATTATTTATTAATAATCTTCCTAATAAAATGCATGTAATATTATTTAATATAAATCTTTAATATAACCGTTAATTTTTTTATTATTATTATTCAATTAAAATTAAAGAAACAAAAATTTTAAATTTATAAGATTATTATAGTCTTTGTAATCCAAATAAATTTTTTAAGAGATAAAAGGGCTCGTCAAAAAATAATCGCAGGGTTCGTAATGTGACATACTCCAGATATACATATCTCTCATGTTTAAGATAATCGTCAAATGTTCACAATACTGTTATTAAGGTCGATTTGATAGAACGCATTACCAAGTTCATCCAACAAGCTTGTGTTTTACCGCGATTTTAGATCCTGATAACCGTGCCTCTTTATCTATAACCTTGTTCGCTTTTAATTACAATTATAATGCACACAGGGAATCATATATACACGCGATAAAAATAAAAGAAGATTCATAAATAATTAAAAATTAAATATAATTAAAGAATTTAATATTTTTTTCCACAAACTTTTTGACCATACATGATCGAACAAAAAATTCTATAAGGTTTGAGCTGTATTCCGTCAAGATTGTCAAACTTACCTCGTATATATTTGTAGTCGTATACAAGTCGAAAAATACACGAACACGAACTCGATCGAACGGGCGTCATTCGAGAACGATACGATTCCTCTCGCGCTTGTCGCGTATGACGTCTTTACGAGGGAGATAAATCACGGTTATGCCCGGCCGCGGTGATTGGCACCTAATTGCGACGACATTCCGGATCGACTGGCTGTCAGTTTCGCGATTTTTCGAAAGTCGTTTGGCGGCGGCATTTTAATCGACGCCTTATCGAAATAACGAGCCTACCCGGCCGGGCTTCGATCACGAGGAACGTTTTCGCCAGGAGGAATGTGCGATCGCGGATCTTTTTTTTTCTCTTTCTTTTTTTCTTCTTTCCTCTATTCAGTATGGAATGTATATTCGTATCAGCGACTCTCGCCTCGAGGTGTAAAGCGAGCCGCGCGATAACACCGAAACGACGTCGACGATCTCGTCGTCATCGTCGTCGGTAGGCGACGATTTTTCCATCGAAAAGAAGGTCTTTTCGTCGAACCTGAATACTCTTACTGTTTGCCGTCGTCTCTTTGCTCTTCACGGGAAAAGAGAGGAATCATGTCTCTTTTTATTCCGATGCGCACTCTGAGGAATGCTAATTCTATCTTTCTTTTTTTCTTGAACTAAGACTCTTTTTTCAATGTATTGAATTTATCGACGAAAGATGTAAAATTTATTAGAGGTCTAGAAGTTTTAAATAAAAAAAAAAAAAAAAACTCGTATAAAACTATAATTTTTGCATGAACGGAATTACTTCAATTTATTTCAGTTTTTTATTTTTATATCTACACGGCGATTTAATTACGACTGTTTCATGATTAATCTCCTTCGTTTGGGTTTTATATATTTATCACTTTGACGAATCAAATGAATAACGCATAGCATATATAATTTTAGATTAAATGCATCGCGACATATCGAGTTGATTTATTTCACGCTGGTTTAGTGTACGTATAAATCACCGACAATTAATAAGACATTTGATATATTCTTTTACACATTTTCTATATATTCTATATTTTTCTCTACTCTATTCAAGAAATATTAAAAAATTATGGTACTTACTTGAGAATAGTCTTGGGATCGATGCCTGTCGGCATTCTCAGAGGTATTTTCTGTTGCTCTAGTAGGGATATGTTGTTGTCCTAAACACAAACAAATGGATAACAATATTAGTAAAAAGAAGCGATCGAGAGACTTTAATAAATAAATAATAATTAATATTACGAAAGCATATAGCTTAGTTATTTAGAGACGTCAGCGTTAGTCACTTAATAACACGACTAATACAAGCACTAATAAGACTATAAAAGAAAATTCTCTTTCTTCAGCAATATACCATAATAACGATCGTCGCGCGTGGATGATGACAAAGTCTACTAATCAAATTTGTGCAATATTTAACGGATAATTTAAAAATCGTTTTCGCTCGTTATACGATCCTTCGAACACTTTACGAACCGCGCAACGGATATCCGAAGAGTGATTCGGATGAGCGGTATGAGATAGAAAAATGAAACGAAGCCGAACAGAGAGAGAAAAAAATGTACATTTACACACACGATAGAACAATAAACGCCACGAAGAAGACGTCTCGCGCTTACCTGAGAATTTCTGGGTTTTGCCGAGAGATCGAGCGGTTGATCGGCCGCCGCGGCGCTGTCCTGGTGGGTCTGCACCCCAACAAGGGGCGCCTCCCTCGGCGGTAAGCACCATTGGGGCAGCAGGGTGGGGTAAGTGCCGCTGAGAGCGGCGGCGACCACGGACGCCGCCATCGGATCCACCTGGACCGACATCGGTGATTCCGCCGATCGCGAGCTGCTGCTACTGTCGCTCTGCGGACTCTGCGGGGCACAACACGGAGAAACGTGTCATACCGTGCTCGCCGATCGGGCAAAGTGGATTGATATAGGATATGGCGGAAAAAACTTTAAAAAAATATCAAAAAAGAGAGAGAGAGAGAGAGAGAGAGAGAAAGAGATAGACCCGCGAGAAAGACGCGAATACATGGGGATCGAATTCTGATCGAATTCAGTTTTCAAAAGACGTGCCCGTCTTCGCGAGTCCTCGTGAATCTTGTATGGGCGCGTCAAAGTGATCAAAGCTGTGTGTGTGAGAAAGAAAGAAGAGAGAGAGAGAGAGAGAGAGAGAGAGAGAGAGAGAGAGATAGATTGTGGTGGTGTGACGGTCGGCGCACGACTTAATCGAAAGCAGCAAAGACCAGGTCGGACTCGAGCCGCGCTCGCGATGGCACAACAGGCGGATGGAGAGGTATGAAACGAGATTCCGATGACGCGATTGCGTAAGTGACAGATGAAACGAGCAACATTGAGGTATCTACGTTAACGTTATCGACTAAATGGTTCGATATTTCGAGTACCATCCGAAAGCGTTTGAGGTGTCGCGCAGCCTCGCAATCCGAATTTCGCGTAAAGGAGAAAGATATATATAATAAATTCGTTCCATGACTCTCGTCGAGATAATCTCTACACAAAGTTAGCGATGAAGAACGAGGTCGATGCTCAGCCATGCGCAACCTCACACCGGACAAACTCGTCGTAAGTTACTTACAAGGGGCGGCTGGTCGTCGTGGGGTAGCTTGCCGTCGAGGCAAAAGTAACACTTGTCGAGCGGCTTCCAGTCCTCCGGCGGCGGGCTGGTGCGTCTTCCAAGGAGAAACGGCGTCGCGACGCTCGTCGCGTTTCCCTCGCGGCATAACAGTCCCGACCTGGTCCCTTCCGAATCCGTCGCCGGCGTCGTCAGTATCGTCGTGCCGCCGCCAGCGGCTCCCGACACCTCTTGTAGCTCCTCTTCCTTTTTTACCCTCAGTAAGCCCTGCGTTACCGGTGCCCGCTCCAACGCGATCTCCTCCGTTCGTTCCTGCGAGAAAAAACGAAGAATAGGATGAGAGAGAGAGGATCGCAGCAGAAATGCAGAATAAATGAAGAAAAAGAAAAAAAGAATGACACCAACCTTGGTCCCTTCCGTGTCGGTAGCGTTGGCAATCGGGTGATTCGCACGATCGTTTTCCGTCCTGAGAGGGCTGGTCGCCGACCTGTCGGCGTCCCCGTCGAGCTTGAGCCGTTTCTCCGCCTCGTTTTGGCCCCGTCCCGTCTCCTCGTCGTTCTCGTCGCCGTCCTCCTCGCCGTCGACGTTCTCGCCGTCGTTCAGCCGGCGTCCGCGTCGCCGTCTCGTCGTAACCGTCGTCGTGCCGGTCGCCGTTGCTGTCGCGGACGAGGTCGTCGTCGTCGTCACCGCCGCCGCCGTCGTCATCGTCGTCGTCGCCGCCGTCGTCGTCGTCGTCGTCGTCGTCGCCGCCGCTTCCGTCGCCGTGTCCGCCGTTCTCGTGGTGTCCTCTCGCGCGACACCGTCCACGGGCTCCTCGTCGGCGGCCTCGGTCTTGATCTCGCCCGGCCTCAGACGACGCGGATCCTCCTGGTGATGATGGTGATTCTGCAGGGGATGCCTCTGCAGGCTCTCCTGCTTCACCACGCTGGTAGCGAGCGTCGTCGTCGTCGTGGCCGTCGCCGTCGTCAGCGCCGTCGACGCCAACGACGTGGGTACCTGGTGATGCGGCCCGATCTGATCCAGGCTCCCGGCTATCGGGTTGCAGGACGACGACAACGCCGGATAAAGCCGATGGTGAGGCTGTGCCGTCGCTGATTCGCTGCTGCGGGTGCCGCTGTACAGGGTGTCCTGGTATTGCTTCCATCTCCTACGGCCCATCAACTCCTCCGCTACCCGTTCCAGACCTGCGACACCACCGTGACTACATCAAACAATGACATGCGCCGGGTCACCCGTCACCCGTATGTATATGAAGAAAGTGTTACTTTCAATAGAGTAAACAGACATTCGACGCTAGGCTCGCTGCGATGCGCAGGACCGATAGCTCGAAATAGTGAAATAGACTCTATTTATTTTCAAAATAATAAATGTTATGACAATTTTATCAAATACGATTATGGAATGATGAGTGTTTCAATTACAAGTATAAGACTGGTCAATTGATAAAATTCAGCAATATTTTAGTCATATTTTCATCATTCAAAATAAATAAACAAAGCTTTAAAAATATATTTTGCAAATATATATATATAATGATTACTAAGTTTTCGACGAAATCTTAAATCACAATCAGTAGAACACACCAGATGGAGAAGGAAAGCGTTTTTACTGAAAGTCAGTAAAATATTCATCAATCGATCGATGAAATTTCATGTCACTGCTTTAATCATTTTCATCGATCCAGTTTAACAGAACGCAAACATATAATGAATATTTTGTCTTCGGTTTTAAAGCAGTTTGTCTACTCCTACAAATATGTGGTACCAACATATTCCGAAAGCCGAGCCGATAAGTCTATCAAAACGTATATTTTCCTGAATCGCAAACTGTCGCTATCGTAATTTTATGCACTAAAATAAGTGGCCCGCGGTTTTGCGCAATCGCGGTTGCATAATCGTGAGTTACGAGAAACGTATTCGTCGCGCGGATGTGACGATATCTATATAACCCGCTGCACAAATTCACGCAAGTGCACCGCTATGCGAATGCGCCAGACCGACTCGTTTGTCATAGGAAATGATGGACGATGATTAAAGTTCTAGAGAAAAGCACGCGGATGCAACGTTGTTCTTCCAACGAGAGTTGCAGGCGAAATTATGCAAATCGCGCGCGATTTGCGTAACCGGATATGGTGGTTTTCGAAGATTATGGCCGCAACTATTCAGCGTACTCTAGAACGAGAGAAGGAAGATAACAGATCTGCGAAAAGAACGTCTTTTTTCTTTTTATTTTTTTTTTTGTGATTCAAAATGCGCGAATGTTTCGCAATTACTGGAGATTTATTGCAGCATTTGAGAATACCCGAGCATTTAATTACACGTACGTGGGAATGGACCGTGTTAATCTAATTAATTAACCTTTTCACCGCTCCGCACAAATAAATGGACGCTGTACGGAGATTAAAACGTATGGAAATATAATTTCCTTGGAACACTCTGTTACTCCTTTACAGTTACGTGCAATTACTTGTGAAAGCTTCGTTGTTTCTAAAGATAAGGGAAATCTTTCCATTTGATATATCCTTCAATTACGAAAATAAGTATATATACAAACATATATAAATATATATATATATATCGAGAGATATATTTATTATTTGTTTTAGATAATCCTTCCTCGAGAAAGAACGCATTTTTCTGCGCGTTTAACATCTCAAACATTTCTGTGTCCCAGGCAGCATTATGTCAGTTAAAATTCCGTTCCATTCGTCAGAATGGTTCGCGATATAGATAACGTGATTTTTTTCGCTTCCTTATCCAAAGGCCGAATAGTTGAGTGTTATCATACCGACATGACGTGCCTGACTGGCTCCGTCGAAAAGATTCGCGATTTCAGTTTCGCGCCAACGGATGCTCCGATGTTAAATCATCACCGGGATTTTACAAATTATGATATTTATGCTAGTCGAAACAATTATCAGACGCACCATAGTACAATGTAGTACATGTGTATTTGTGTGACGGATGTTAATTTCCTGAATAAATATTTAACATCGCGGAAATGCCCGCCAGCGTGAGCTTGTGTTTTTCGCTCGTTCATTAATTTAGCAAACAATATTCGATATTCATTTGAGTAAAAGCTCGGCGATCTGTCGTATAATTCGTCATCGAAGAACCGTGAAACCGATTTGATTTGTGACGCTCGAATTTAATCTTGCGTCAGACGTGCGTTTCGCCGCTTTTGCCAATATACGGTGCCTGAAATTTCTCTTTCTCTCTTCAAGATATTTTTTTTTTTTTTTTTTGCAAATTTACAAAGAATATACCTTCGAGCTTGCGCGACTCTCTAAATAATATATAATATATAAATCAGCGACGAAATATAGAATAAAACCTTTCTCGTTCTCTGTATAAAATAATTCATACACATTATCTGATCAAGATTATCGCGGCACATATAATTCTACCATTTACTTCGTTCAACTTATCGCGCTATGCCGCGTGAAAAATAAAGTTCCGTCGATAAATCCTTTAATTTATGCACTTTTACGACTTTTATCGGTGGAAAACATAATTTACTCGTCGAATCGCCGGCCTCTATCTCTCGAAAGAGCGCATCCTAACGTCGATCAAACGCAAACCGACAACGGCCGGCCAATTACAGCTTGGACGCGCCAATCAGCCGCGCTTCTCGTCTCGGACACCCGGTATCAGCCGCGCGTGGCGCAAATGCAACGTACCGTCACGCCAATCGGTGCACGTATATGTGCATATACGGATGCATGTATGTGTGCACGTGGTGCATACATATACATACACGCATACGTCTCACACTACGGGCGTTCGCGCGAGCGCTTCTCTCGCATTCGTGAGACGAAGAGACGATCGTGAATGCACACGCGCACCATTCTATACGAGTGTGTACGTGAATATGAAAATATATCATCGCGTGCGAATCGAGTCCGGCGGCGATTTTTCACGGCGCTGGATTGATTTTGTCGCTTGGATAGTCATTAGGGCCTGGTAAAGAGCCGGTGGCGGCACGTCGCTTCTGCGAAACGCGCGTTGTTTCTGTGAAACGACGGGGAATTCGCAAATTAAATTGCACACGGGATCGATACGGTTCGTGGTACGCACAATTCGGCGTGTCTTGGAACTTCGATGCCTTTTATCGGTCTGTTAATCAAATCCGACTCTTGGCCATTTCCGCGCGGATTTGTCATTGCAAATTGTTATTTTATTTGTATAATAAATGCAGCGAAACTATATCAATTACATCGATATTTAGCACAAAATTGCTGCAAATGGACAATCTTGGATGTAAAAAAGTAGCGTACTCAAAATTGTATCAACACGAAAGAGATGTTTGATTCTCTATCATTTTCCCAGATAACACTTTTAAAAATATTGTTTTTGAAAATATGAATTTCTCATTAATGAGAGAAACCGCTAAAATGCAGTGCATCGTGTTGCTGTACCGCTTAATTTGAGATCAATCTGTAGTGAACCAGCTTTGTGGTGAAACCATTGAAAAATTCAAAAGAAAAGTATATAAAATAACTAAGCCGTGTTTTTTTATCACGTTTTACCTGTATAAATGTATGAAAAATAATATCATTTATATATTGAGCGAATAAATAACGCAATTATATTATAATATATCGAAAATACTCTGCCCATAATTATTTGTGCAATTATATTCAAACAATAAAAATCTGTAAAATGTTGATAATCTTATTAATTAAATCGTTCACCGTGCTAAAAATCAAGATTGAGAAGCAAATATCTTCGATCTACACAATGCAGATTCATTAAAGCCAGATAACTAGAATTTATATAGCAATAGAAGGCCTCGGTTAGTGATAGTGGAATCGCGAAAACAATTTCGAAAGTACGTTAGAGACTCTTTCTCTAAATTAAAGCCCGCTAAGGTCGGTTTATCTCACGCAAATGGACATTCGCACACAGCTAATTATTTCGCGCTGTATTTCGTACGTCGCAATTATTATCGCCTGATTCAACGGCGCGTATCGAGAGTTAGTTTAATCGTGTTATTTTCTTCGAAAGATGCAACGCACACTCTCGCGTAGTACAAATTAATTCATCGTCGTAAGTATCGAGCAAACTCCGAGGCGCGAATCGAAATCGCTCGATCGCGAACGGCGCAGCTTTGAAATTTCGCGAGCGTAATGAGTCTTACGCGTTTCAACTGCATGATAATTAGTTCAATCGCTAATTATGCGTTCCGCTCGATAATTACCGCGTTATCGATTTATACCGATATCAGTGACCGATGCGCGAGAAGAAATTGATAATTGTACAATTGCGTGTTGCACAAAGTACAAATATTTTATTGCAATGGTTTTGTAAAATAAAATTTTATGCAACTCAAACTTTTTTATATTTATTTCATTCTTAAATTTTATTTTAAAAATGAGCCAAAGAATCCACTTAAAAAAATATATTAACGAATATTACTAATTCTTTTACTAGAAATGATCTTAATAATCTGACTTCTCAATTAATCCGACTTGAAGTCACGGTTTTGATTGCAGGTCGCAAAGTGTTGACCGCCCTTGTCATTTAAATTTATTATCAATTTCAGTACCAGTTTGTTTTCAGGATAGCCGAGCACTCGTCGGCATTAATGGTGATTAATATGTAACGGCATTAGCATGTTAACCGGTTCTCCAACAAAGTTGATAGAAAGCTTGTAACAAGTAGGGAAGTTGATTTTCAGCGCGAAGGGACGGAGGATCTACCGCGTGAAGCGCACACAAATTTCGGGAATTGCTGTAAAGTAATCGCGGAAGATATATCGCAGGTCTCGCTCGAGTTCATGAATAAGCGTAAATTAGCTTGTGAAGAACGAGAACGCCATTGATCACTTTGGATAGTTTGCAATTATATGTCGTACGCTCGACGAAACGTTAATCCTTAATCCTCAACCGACAATATTCATTTTCCAAACTTACGTATTTTAACTTGTAATTATATTTATGTAAATCAAGTAATTATTTTCACGAAAAAATACAAAATAAAATGTAGCACACAAAATAACTGATTATTTAATCATAATAACGCCGTCAATTAAAAAATATATATAGGAATAAGACAGATTGCGTGAAAAAATTTTATAAAATACAAAATATAAAAATACATAATTGGAGAAATTTTTTTCAGAAATAATATTGAAAGCCCAGGAAATACGCAAAAATATAATAATTGCTCGCATTTTTCCTTTT